ATGGTGGTCAGCCATGTGGCAGGCCACCAATGTAACTGCTATGCCATCTGTTGGCCCCAGTGTGATTATATTTTAGACAGGGCCTATGTATGTCTTGATCCTCCTGTCTCAATCTCCAGAGTAGTTGGGACCCTAGGGGCATGTCCCCATGACAGTGGTTTTAGGTGGGCGGGGAACCCAGCCTTGACCTCCCATGTGGCCTTAGCCTGCCCAGTCGCAGTGCCCGGCACCCAGTGCTTTCCATCCAGCGTGCACTGCCTCAGCTGGGTGGGCTTCTCTTGCTTCTCGCTCGCTCGCTCTTTTTCACTGTGGCTCTGTCTGACCTAAGGGTACAGATGAAGTCTGACTGGCTCACGTTATTTCTGTTGAAGAGCATTGCCCGAAACATAACTGTTGAAGGTCTTTCTTTCAGTTTGCCACAGGGTGCATGCACACACCGGAGAGACACACAGAGAGAGAGGGAAAGTGAGAAATCACCCCCCAGGGGAATGGCCACGCAGCAGACCCTCCTCCTCCACTCTCCTCTTGGGATTTCTGAGCTCGCTTGCACACGCACCTGGCATGTTTTCCAAGGTGCCCGATCTGGGACTCAAACTGCATCATCGGCCACATGGGACTCAGCCGTCTTAACCGCCGTGCCACCTGGCCGGCCCAGCTCTCAATATCGTCATCACAGTTTTCGTCAGTGAAAAAAGTGGAGTTTGAGAATGCACTAGCACATGTAGAAGTTTTTGTTATTATATTTTATATACAGTAGAAAACATACAGAAATAGAAGGTCATAAACAAAAAAAGAGAGGGAAAACATGAACAGCAGCCCTATCTTTCCCTGCACCCAGTGATCATCGTGTGGGGTGTGGGCATGCGCGTTGGAGATCGCTATTTATAACGCTGGCTTCTTTTATTCTTTTAATTTGCAGAAGGCACATGTGCTAGCCAGAGAGACACAGAGGAGGGGGGAAGCACCCCTGATCGTGGCATGGTCACACTGCCTCCCTCTCCACTTCTCCATCCGGTCGGGATTTGGGCATGCACACTTGTGTACCCCGTGTGCTTTCAAGCCTCCAGGGCTGCGATCTGAA